ATCATGTTCATGGTTGGGTACTTGAGGGTGTGGTTTTCCTGTATACCATTTGGGAGATGAGGTAACTTGCCTCATTTTGAAGAAGAGGGATTCGACCGGCTGTTAGTGTGCGTATCTTAAGTTTAAGTTTAGATAATATCGGATCTGCTTTGAATTCCCTGGCCGTCAGAATCGCGTGATGGTTTGCTCATTTTCCAGAACGTGAAGTTCTACATGAAATCTTTAAACTGTCGTTAGTTCTTAGCGCCATGCTATTCCTACCGGTACTCCGCAAGGCCAGTAGTCCATAGTTGCATAGTTCCCGTGTGACTGAGTGCTCAAACCGTGTTTCAGTAATGAGTGGGGTGTGGTGAGATTTATTTGGCAAAAAATGTATTCATTTTCGCGTGATTGGATAAACAGCCTCTGCATTAAGGTCTGGATCTTCACAATTTCAAACATTTCGAATTACTTGTAATTAGAACGTACATGCATAACAATCCACATTATAGCCTTTATTCAAAAAGAAGTACATCAACATTATGGTCGCTGAAGTTCCCTAGTTCTGTGTTTACTGCAATCCTGTTTAATTTTGTACCTTTTCTGTTCCAAATGAATTCAGTTTACGTAGGAAAAAAGAGCCAATTTGTTGTATTTGCCATTCTAATATTTTGCGTTTATATTCATCAAGTTCAACTCACTTTCTGTGACAGTAGCTAAGGTATTTATATTTAGTCACTAATCAACCGGCCATTTATCAAAATGAAACGCACTTTTTCCTCTTTATAAAGTCAATTATCAGCACTCTTGTCTTTAATTCAAGGTAATTAGTTTTGAAATTTTGAAATGAAATTTGTTCAAACCACTCAACATTTCTAAAGTACAAAAGGATTATCTCTGGAGTTCATGTGTCCAGCAGTGGAAGTATCCTCGGCATATTGAATCATGAGGTTTTCTGGATTTGTTTTGACACAGTCATTAGTATATGCATGGGCAATAAGACACACCCTCGACGGACTCCATTGTCAACACCTGAGGCAGGTGGAATTGTAGAATTAAGCTTGCTTGTTCCCAGTGAGACGCAAAGCTTGACTGCTGAACACTGAAATCTTGGGGAAAAACAGAAACAAGCCTTCAGGATTTCGACCCTGAATGCACTGATTAAAAAATGATTTTGCAAACCCGATAGCCGGGAGCACTTGGAGTTTTCTCACAAACAAATTTTGTGATTTTTTTTTTATATCTGAAAAGGTATTTTTCTCAAATGGATAAAAAAACTAATAAGCCTCGACGTCACCTTTTCTCAAATGGATAAAAAAACTAATAAGCCTCGACGTCACCTTAACCGACCGGGGATTAATCCATTGTTATTTTAAGTCCCGCAAAAACATGAAAAACATCTTTCTTGCTGTTCTTAATCTTGGCTAACACCGCTTTCATAAAATTATAATCTGACTTTCGTACAGTGCCTAAACTCATTAAGTCATTCCCCTGCAAACACTGCTACGATTCACGGCCGTATTTTCCCCCGTAATTTCGTTCCAAAACTGTCAATCTTTTTCGGAAAACCGTGAATATCTAGTGACAGCTTGATAAAGGAACAGATGAAATCTAGCATGACTTAACAGTGTACCTGCACTGCTGATGGCTAATGTGTGAAGTATTGGGTTTTAGTCAACCCGCAGGCTATATTCTGGATTAGTTTGCTCTCGTCTCCTGTAAAGACTGCATTTCCGCAAGCATGTTTTCCAGGCATTTCAAGGGCAGAACCTGAGTGCTCATCTGTCACCGTCAAACTGACTGTATGAGTTTGTCAAATTGAATCAGAGTTTAAATGTACAGATTAAACCCGCTGGTTTGGTTAAATTCACGTCACTGTATTTTTATTTTCTGTGTGCATATTTGGAGGGGGGCGGGGAGTGTCTCTCGCCATGTCTGAGGCTGTAAGCTTGCCTCAGACACTAGCCTCCAACGGTCAGATTTCAGCAGCTCTTTCCCCCCTTAACTGTTGGCGCTATTAGACAAAAAGTGACTTCATGCAGAAGTTTATTTCTATATTTCAAGACATTGGTCACCAAATTTATTTGTTTGGGTTTGGATTATATTTGATTAATTTATTTTCATTTTCATATAGTATTTAGTAAATTGCTTATCATTGAAATATTGGCTTGAGATTTTATAACACTTTGAATTCTTACGCATTGCCAACCACTTAATGGCAAAACCTACGGCATGTACTTGTGGCATAGCTAAAGAAAGGTCTACTGACGTCGATGATGGTCGATACTACTGTATTTCGCCTGAAATACCAATAATGCAGACAGGTTTTCATTCGGGCTCTGTATTTTCGTTTCTGTGGCTATTTGATCTCTCATGTTTTATCACTGCAGACAATTACATCATTTTGAAAAGGCGTCCTTATTTAATTATGTGATCACGGGCGTGCTTGATTCGCTCGTCATCCAGCGTCCGAACAAGGCGCTGGGAAGGACTGAGGGCTTTGCACAGATTTTAGTGAAGGAAATGTACGCAACACGGAGTCACACGCAACGACGAGCACAGCAAAATTTCTGTGGGACCCGCGAGCTCGCTCACTGCGTTCAAGACGGCAGTTATAAATTTGATTTTTTTTCTTCTTCTTCCGTATTGCTAAAAAATTCTCACAACACTTCAATCGTTCATCCAAACTTGATCAAGATAACCAATGATTTGAAATATATCTCCAAGAGACACGTAACCAGTGATACTTTAATAGTGAGAGGATAAATTACCACACTGTGATTGTACCAAGGTTATGTTTTTAATCATATAGCTGACACTTTGCCCATCCAAAGTATTGACACTGGTGAACCAAAAAATTTAAGTAACGCTTTGCTAACATGAAGTCATAACTTCACAGTCACAGGTCTTGCACAGTGTAGCCAATCACAGTGCAAAACCATCAGCCCTTCTCATCAGCGCCCTCAGTATGGGCGACGAGCGAAGCTTTATAGCTCTCCCAGCTGAGCATTTATACAGGAGCGGCAGAGCGGAGAGCTATATGTAGAGTGCGTGCTAGTGATGCCAGAGCTGCAGGGCAAGCTGGAGTGAGGCTAAAACCAGGAACTCTGTACATGACGTCAAAACCTGCACAGCTCCAATCTAGCGCCCATATGCGAATACCCAACTGCAACTCACTGTCGTGCGTTTTTACAGACACTTAATATGAGGTTCTTGGGTCTCGGACTCTGCACTCTGCACATGGAGCTATTAATGCTCTCAGCGCACCGAAAAAAATATTTGGTGAAGAAAAACAATATTGGAAAAAGCAGTTTCAAAGGGAATCGAACTCAGGACCAAAAGATCTATGGTCAATTCACTATCTATGGACTATTGTGGCACCTTGCAGACAAAAGTTCTTTCACATGCTTTAAGGTAGTGAAAAGACGTATGTCCGTAATGCCAGTGCTGTAAATGGTTTTCTATGCATACGAGAGTTTTACATAGTGACGTCATGCACAGAGTGCCGAGGCCTTACCCGAGCTGGCTGAGTGGTGTGTTATAACAGCGCCCTCATTTTCGTTTCTCTTGTAGATTTTATTTCGGCGTGAGAACACAGATACGTAGGCCTTATTCAAGAGCCCGCGTGGCTTAGGAGGGGTTCAGAACAATTTTGGGGGATGTTTGGAAATGATTTGAAAATATGGGAGCTTTTAACTAGGTTTTAGAAGGAATGGAAGTAAAGGGGAGGGGTCCCCTGGTGCTACGTGGTACATAAGTGGGTGCAGTTTACTAATTCAAATGAGCATTTGTGGCCAGCTCATTAGCATTAACAGTGCCCCCACGGTATATTTTATTGTTGTTATTTATTTGGCATAACCACAAAAACAAACTATACAAAATGAAAACTGCAATACAGCGAACAATACAATACACAAGACACACGATTTACCAATGGCACCTGCCATGAGTTGAACAAGTTTACTTAGAAACTGTGACCTAAGGGCCTCCAACTCCGCTGCCACTGGCAATAAAATAATATATGTATATCTAATATAAAACAAAATTGTTTTACAGCAAACTTTAAAACAAAACAACAATTTTTTTACAAAATGCAAATTAAAGAAAATAAAATTTTAAATAATACTAAATACATAATGTTAATACCAGCAAAAAAAAAGCAATTTATCTTTTGAAAAAGGAGATTGCTTGGCCCCCAGATGGTGAAATTGTGTAAATTGTTGCCAGGATCAGCTCCCTGTGTCTTTGAGCTTAGATATGAGAGCAGAATGGCGAAATACTACGGTAGAAAAATTGTCCTCAGTGCCCGAGAAAGTTGAGGGCTGCCACACTTGAAAAATGGCTACAACTAGACTACGGAAAAATCACTTGTGGGGTTGAATTGTTTTGTGGGAATGAAAATGTAATTGGTTAACCCACAAAAAATGAAAAGAAATTGAAGGTTTAGGGGCTATTTGTCTTTCAGAAACCTCAAGGATGGTGGTATGCATGTTATTGGGCCCTGAACAGTGCTGAATTTGTATTGTTTTCAGTGGGGCTTGAATTGGAGGACCGGACCCTTCTATCCGTGTTCCGGGTACGAAAAAACCTGGTTAGGGGAACCATTGAGAAATAAGATGTGGCAGAACCAGAAGTACATTTATAGGTATAGCCTTTGGGGAAAATCATTTTGAAAAAAGAAGAAACAGAAAAAACAGAATTTGAGATAAGACGATTGGGCCTGAAACCCCACCACGGTACAGTCAACTGCATCTATTAAAAATTAGTTCATAATTACCACCATGTAAAGTGCGACACGCCCAAGTTCATACCGACGTGACATGAGCAAGAATTTGTCCTTTTTTATTACGCAAGGCCATAGCAACATTTTCTCTCATTCTGTCAACCTACTGTGGCTTGGACATTGATTTGCTTTTATAATAGGATAATTTACACTCGGTATTGCTTACCGATTCCCTCCCCCATTCCCCGCCCTGAATACAATAAAACATAATGATAGTGCCACGCCCATACCTACTCAGCTCCCACAATGCAGTGCTGCGTCAGAATCAAGATGGCCGGCGTTCTGTGAAGAAAAAGGAATGTTCTCACTGGGGTTCAGAAACGATCTTTTCTCCTGTCTCTGATGCTGAATGCTTTCCACAAGTCAACTTGAAACGAAGGTAAGATTTTGTTTTACGACGAGTGTGTGTAGTGTATAAAAACCCTTGTTTAGCTCCCTGAAGAGATGAAACTACGGTGTCCAATGTTTGAGCCCAATTTCCGGACAACTTTAAATTCCGGAAGTACAGTAACGTTTGGCTATAGTATTACATAGGGTTGCATTGCTTTCGAGTCAACTCGTACCTTGGGCAACTCATAATGTGAGTTAAGACGTCTCGTACTTTCAGGTTCGCAATTCACTTAACTTTCTTTCTCATTTTTCCATGTTCACATGTTTAAGCCTTGAACATACATCATGTGATTGTAGGTCAACTCGCCCCCTGGCCGACTCGCCCCTTACCAGCTCGCCCCTTACCAACTCGCCTCCTGACCGACCGACTCGCCCCCTAGCCGACTCGCCCCTTACCAACTTGCCCCCTAGCTAACTCGCCCCCTGGCCGACTCGCCTCCTGACCGACTCGCCCCCTAAGTTTGCCAAGCACGTATGGCCGGCCCATTTACCATTTGAAAAAAATACAATCAGTCAGAGATGGACTCAGTGATTGCTGCCCTTAAAAATAAGTTCTGGGGTTTGCAGCTGGCACTCAAAGTTGAGTTTGTTTAAAGCTTGGTGGATATTCCCTTCGTGTGAAATTGGGGTTAACAATTTTTTTTTTATATTGGTAAAACTAATTTACTATCGTGTGTATGGGCCTTGGCGCAGCGTTTCCTGTGTATTGTCTATGGGATTTCCTGCGCCACAACACCAACACCGTACCATATTAATTAACTTTGCGAACTATTTCAGATAAAAAAATGGTACATACATGTATTAAGCATAATGCCCGGCGACGCAAACCTACAGAAGTGTTAAGGAGACATGATTTATGACAAAGGGTGTAACGGTCGCTACACACTTTCAGGTTCCAATAACTTCATGGGATAATGGGGCATTAAAAATTGACATTAGTGTACAATGTACCACTATGACTTTATACATCACACAAAAAGCGTATATCCAAGAACCTACATGTAAATCAATTTTCGCAGTATACATGTATGTGAGGTCCCAGTCGAGTGAATTAGCAAAAGAACACTATAACTACATGTAACTAACTAACTGGATATCGGGTCACTTCAAGAAGATACAGTCACATACCCAAATATTAATGGGACGGACCGGGAGGGTTCGAAGTTGTTGATCCTGAGGGTATGTTGGATGTACAAATAAGCTAATCAGACAGTGGACGTAGGAAGCGTTTCAATAAATAAGTGATTAGTGGTAATGTGCAAATATCCATCACCGTCCGTGAGTCGTTCGTGTCGCGTCGTTGGTTAGAACCATTGTTTTTTTGTTTTTTTTTAATACATTGGGCCGGCCATATTTGCTTGATGTTCCGAGGGGGCGAGTCGGCTAGGGGGCGACTCGGTCAGGGGGCGAGTCGGCCAGGAGGCAAGTTGATAAGAGGCGAGTCGGTCAGGGGGCCAGTTTACGAGGGGGCGAGTTGGACAGGGGCGAGTCGGTAAGGGGGCGAGTTGACCTGACACCCATCATGTACATGTATGATGTAGGGCCTATCATTATCAAGGAAATGCCTTTATAAATTTCCTGGAGAGATACAGAGCGCCAGCATGATTTTCTGCATATCATCCTTCCATGGGCATGTGTGTGCCATCAGTTTCAGTGACAGATGTCAAACAACCCGATGGGTGCATTCCACCAAATGGTCGTAATGGTCGCAAGCTCATAAATACATGTACTTTGTGATCCCACAGGCATGACAGGGTTTTTACAAGACATGCCATAATCAGGAGGGATCATACAAATACATGTATTTCCAAAAATCCTGAATTTTGGACTGATAGTTTCCAGTTTGGGGTATTTCTTTCACAAAAAGCCCCAAATTGCGGGTCTATTTTGGATAGAGGCAGCCGGCTACATTAAGAGCTGAGCGCTAGTATAACTGAATCTGCTTGCCCTGATGAAGGTACCCAGTTACCTAAAGCTCGGCAATTACATAATTCAGAGCACTGATTGTATATTATATTTTTGTTCGAGAAATGATGGCACTCTCCCATTCAGAGACATTTCTTCTCTGTTGACTTAATTGGCTTATATTCAAGCCTTGATTGATTTCTGCCTGACTCATGAACGACGTGGAAGCATATCGGCCTGAGAAATCAAAAATTGTTCATGATGACAGCAGCAATTAATAAACTCTGACTAAGGTACGAGTTGTCTCGTATGCGAAGGTACATGTACGAGTTGGCCAAGGTATGACTTGCCAAAGGTACGAGTTGGTGCAATTATGTTGAGTTGATGGTACGAGTTGTCCGAGTTTTCCAAGGTACGACTCGACCTGTTCCCGTTGCATTGATGTCACCCAGACATACATTGTAACAGTCATAAGTTATAACATAGAAGGGTGGCAGGCTCTGTTGTGGCTTGGCTTTATTGTTTACCCCCCACTCCCCAGAAGTGGGTCCGACGTCCGTCCCGCTCCCACAAACCCAACAGAAAACAAGCCTTTTTCAGCATAGGCTGTACATGACATTTAACAGGGCACGAACAGGGATTTATTCTTGTTGTGCACCCATAGACATGCTGCTCCATTCCCCCTAAGACTGTAGCCTAGGCTATACATGTACATGTACCTTTGTATTGAGTAGGGCCTACCAAGAAAAAACGGGCCCAAACTGTGCCCATTTTCCAAAAAGAGCCGTAAATATTTCCTGATCAGCGTCTGAGAGTCATGCGGTTCACATGTGTGCTTGTACATGTATTTGCGAAGACGAGCCACGACCAAATGGTTGACTACGGCTGCGATCAATACTCAGGACATGGAAATTGGCTGCAGCGGCTTTCTGTACGTGTGTGTGTAAATTCTTAGCTGTGACTTGACTGAATGGTTGAAATGGCAGTTGGCTGTGGTGTGTTGAGGTTCACACTGACCAATCAAAGGGCCCCTCATTATTTATGCCCGAATGACAGGAATGACAAGCAACAGCTGTTGGATGCCCGTGCACGTGAGCACGCTGTAGCACAGTGAACACTTTCTGTTAAAGCTGCACATGGATGTTGACAAAGATCGTTGCCTGTCCGCGTCCAACGGCTGTTGCTTGTCATTCCTGTAGTTTCGGACTCAAGTCCAATTTTTTGGACTTTTGACTCGGCTCTGGCTGGGGTTGTTCTGGACTCGACTTGGCTTGGACTCTGCTAGTGGCTGACACAGACTACTTACCAGATTCGACTCAAGTCCATTCAAAACTGCTTTTATGATTCAGAAATTTCATTGGAAAAACTGTCCGCATCTGTTGCCCATTATTGTGTGGTTACAAACCATCATTTTCGGGTCTAGGATAATGGCAAACGTGTAAAAAGCACGCAACCGATTCGACAGAATTGCCGGTGCAGTGCAGCATAAAAAAATTTCTTTCAATGCAGTGAAGTCAGCATGCCCCTCGCCTTAACGAGTAAAGTTACATGTACATGTATGCTGAAAGAGTTGTAATCGCAGGCGCTTACATGTAGTTTCACCAAAATGTGGTTATCGGAACGTCAGGGTAATTGTAACACTTGATCGATTGGCATGTTCTTCCAAAAATGAACCAAAGTGCAACTCCACTCATTTTTCAAAATTTCTAAAAGAGTAAATTTGTTCATATAAAATACATATTTGCACTTTCCGATTTATCTTAATGATCATCTAGATGACCTGGCAGACTGTGTATATTTTGTGGACATTTGGTTAGCTACATGTACCAATAGCAAATCAACGGGAGTTGAAAATAAAGTCCTTGCCCAGTCTTCATTTTGCCATATGTTTTGGAGAGATCCCCACTCAAAACTACATCAAAATTAAGAACTCAGAGTATTTGATTTTCATCGCGAACTGTATTTTATGCCCACATCATTTTTTGGAGAACGTCATTTAGTTTGCAGAATTTTTTAGAGAAACCTCGACACGAAGAGGAAAATCCCAGAGTACTGCACTTCCTTGGAGGAGCTCTGAAATATCGAATGAAAAAGAGAGCACACTATCTGTCCTATATATAACACTATCTGTGCTGATGTCCAGGTCAGACAGCCCAGAAGGCAGCAAAGTGTTTCTGTATGTCACCGTAAAATATCAACAGGCATCCCAAAGTTGTCACGATCGGTATTTATGACTGGGTTTACGGAAATACACTTGATGAAAATGTGATTGTGCAAGTCGTAAAAGCATGATGATTTGAGGAACTTTCTTGCACATCTTCCGAAAGGCTCGTTCTCTACATGATTTTTTATTTACTTGCTGGTTGTTTTTAATGTCGATCATTTTGATGGAATCGAATGATGTTTGCGCCTGCTGACTTTAGGACCCATTAATCTGTGAGACACATTCTTTTTAATAATTCATGATTATGGCTGTAATGTACATGTACATGTACGTACATGTAAATATTATCATCTGTCACCAATTACAAATCGCTTTAACATGTTTAATGATTACCGCGGGAATCATTACATGTACCTCCCAAAGATTTGTAGGTGGCTTGGATTTACAGGTTGTTCAAATGCTGGTGTTCATGATTTTAATTAATCAACTCTGCCTGAGATCCTCCACAGCCAGAAGAAGATGCAATGCAATGTAAAACAAAAGCTGTATCAAATTTAGCGTCTTGTTGAGTGGAAAGAAAAAAATTAGAAAGGGGTGCGGCACAAGGGTATTTTTTGGCAAAGGTTTATTATCCCCACCATGGTTTAACATCTGTTAATTAATAATAGGCCTATACCGGTACATGTACATATATGTATGTACATGTACATGTACTGTAGGGCTGAGTCAATTCGAATAATTCACTATTTGAACATTCAACCTTCAATTCCATCAAATATCCAGAGATTCGGATCCAGAGAAACCATGTACTAAATCAGTTGCAAAATGCACTGAATTGTACATTATGATCACTGTAACAGCTTCTCACCTCTACAATGTACCGGTACATGTACATGTAGGACTACCTCCAGCCACAATTAAGCAAGATTGAAGAGCAGAGCAATACATGTACTTCTTGTCCTGTTGAAAGTTTCTATTCCTTTTGCATTTTTTAATGAATTTACTTTTTGAATCATAGGATGTGTTATTCTGTTGCTTTTCATTTCAATCTGCTTGAAACAAGCCTCCATCGTGCACTTTTTCTCATTTAAAATAAAATTCTTCCTTTTTATTCATTTTGCATTTGCATTTTTACTTTCTGAATCGTGGGATGCATTATTCTGTTGCTTTTCTTTTCAATCTGCTTGAAACAAGCCTCCATTGTGCGATTTTTCTCATTTGAAATAGAATTCTTCCTTTTTATTAATTTTGCATTTGAAGATATTTGAATTTGGAAAATGGTATTTGAATATTCGATAATCGATTGAATAATCGGATATTTGGCACAGCCCTCATTGTCTGATTCATGTACATGTACTGTACATACTGTGCATGTACGGTATGGCTGTGGGCTAGCCGCCAGCGTCTGGTTTTGATTTATTAGTCTCCTCTTGTAACCATCTTGTTTTACTGTTCAGTCATCATCACTGCCAAAACCAGAGTATTCATGTCATCAAACACTACTGTATCATGTTTGTGATTTTGGCGAACTCAATAACATCTGATACCTTAACCCCATTGGGATGCCAGTGGAAATAAGTCTGTGTACGTACATGTACAGTATGCGTGGTTGGCTTTTTTGGGAGAGGGTTCCAGACATGTATCTGGCTGCCTTTCATTTCAGGTAATACGATTTGAAACTTGTACCAAGAAGTGTCAATCTGATTATATTCTACACTAATTTAGGAGTGGAAAAATTCAAGTTTTCTTTGAAAATACCTCAATTTGTCTTTCTGTCATGTCCCATAGACTTTTTTCACAGTGTCTAAGGTGATGGCCAAATATGGAACTGTATCCTGTTGGGGGCCATCTTAGATGAAGTCAACTGTTTAGACCTGTATTTCGGCCTGGTTTACTTCGTAATGGGCAGTTTCTGTCACTGTTTACTGATTTCGTCTGAATAAAATAATGCAGGGTAATAATAATTAAACAATCACAGGTGCTTCAGAGGATCAGTGCTGTGCCCAATCAAGTCTTTCATTGTACATGTACGGGAACTGCAACCACTCACTTGCTATCTAAAAGCACCTACATGTAGGTACATGTACATTCACACACATGTATGCAACACCGGCCTCATTCTGGTGTTGAAGTACACGTACTGGACTTTCTCTGTATCTTTGGCCCCAGAACCATGTCTGTTAAAAACAAAACAAACATTGAAAAAACAGTAATAAAAGGTAAGTAACTTTATCTGCCCAGAGTTGAAGTGCATCCCCAAGCGTCAAAAGAAAGAGAGATGGTTGTAGGTTTTCCAAGCGGGTTCTTGCACGGGTTCTTCATGTACACAAAGACCATACATGTATATTGAGGAATAAATTTGTGACGCATACTCAGCGTGCTCCGCGTCAAACGTACATTGTACCATTGATCCCATTATAAACGCGCGCCTATGGGGTAAGTACCAAAAAACATGCCCTCTTTTGTTCCGCTTGGAGCTGATAAAACCATGGAAATCTATGCATTTGAAAGTGCAACATGTCAAATGGTAGAGCTCACAATTACTGTATTATTGGACGTGTTATTTTCTTTCTCATACATGTACATGTATACAGAAGGAGGATTTTGGATGTGAAACAACTATCTCTCATATCAGTTGGTCCTTACGTTTGGCCCGATAGATTGCATTCAAGTAAATACTTTTAAAGTCTTATCTTTCCTGTAGGGGTCGATTTTCAGCTTTAACCATTGTGCGTTTCTCCAGCAATGAGTGCTAGTGTTGTTTCACCATCAACACCCAGTTCAACAGATGGGGATATCGGAGCATTTGGCGGCATGGATGATGACAGAGGCAAGTTCAGGCATGATATCAATTCTTTTTGTTGTTTTTTTCTGCACATGCATTCTATGCATTACCAGTATTGTGTCAAGTACATGTGCGTATGTATGCTGAACATCTGAACCAACTTACATGTACCGGTACTCAGTTCGCCTGAATTGGAAGTACACATTTGGCTATTTTTAGTTCAGTGTGATAGTTCGGCTGCAGAAGCACTGCCTGAACATGGCGTGGTGACACGCCCCTCTCCAAATGACCAGAAGAGTGCTTGGGGAGTACTGGTGTGTATTTAATAAATGGATACACCAAACAGTGTTCCGTTGCTAACATGGCTTGTTCCTACACAGAACACGCACTGCTCCTGAGAACAAGGCATACATGTACATGCACATGCCCAAATGGAAGCGTGTGTGTGCTTACCAACTGCAATTTGGGAACAGTTTGTTGCTTTGGATAATGCAGTAAATCTACTGGGAACACTTAATGATCCATAAAGGACTATGCGGGTGGGAAGAGGAACATGTTGACTTTTGAAAAAGACTTTCTTGAATTTCAGCCGGCCTTAAAAAATCCTATTTGCTCTCTGTGGACTCCATACGTGAATTGAAATTGTCATGTACATGTATATAAGAAAGCCAGTGCCGAGTATCCAAATATTCAATTATCAAATATTTAAATACTATCTCTGAAACTGAATATTCGAATGAGAATTTTTCAAGCAGATTCAAATGAAAAGCGAAAGAAATCTTACAAGTCAAAAAGTAAATTATTCATTACAAAATTTAGAAGGAATAGAAATTCTCAACAGGGCAAGAAGTGTTTTTCATCTCTTAAATCTTGCTAAATCTTGGCTGGAGATACTCCTAGACGTGAGAAGCTATTATATTGATCACAATGTACAAATGTGTGGGTTAGTGCCTCTGATTTTGTATGGTTTGTTCATCTACAATTTGCTGGTCGGTACAACCTAATATTTGGATATTCGATCAAATTGAAGGTCGACTATTGGAATTATGAACTACATGTACATGGTCATGTACGTATATGAATTGATTCAGCCCTAGTATACGGGCATAATAGACTAACTGTAATGTACAATTGTACATTGTACATGTTTATGTATGCTGTGGGTGCCACTGAGTTTGTTTCTGCATTCAACTGGGAACTTTGAACAATTGAGGACAATAAGGTCCCCGATTGACAGAGGGTCCCCGATTGACAACTGTGTAAAAAACATATGGGTGGTCTTCTAAAAAAGTTTAAGTACAAACAAAAGAGGAACAATAGGGGGTCCCCAGTTGCAGGCAAATACACACTTATGTGTGTGTGTACAATTGTACTGGGATGTACATGGACATGTGCACCTTGCTCACAAGGATGCTTTTCATTCATGCTCTGACATGTCTGATGTACAGTGTATGCAACCTGTGCATTAGCCTACATGTACGTTGGCTTTTGTTGAGAGAGCTGAGCCAACAATAGAAATATGACAGCAATGAAATTGAAATATCAGTAGACTTGCTGCAAAATTGCTGATGTTACTCTAGTTTTAGTCAAGGCAGTCATGGCAATAAGTTTGATCCATGTGAGTGACACACAGCAGCGCTTGACAAGAGGCCAGCGAATTGCTTTTCACACAACCTGCCTCTTTGAATGCCTTCAGCAACTTGTCTTGCAATGCTTTGTGCTGTTGAATTGACAAAATACATACATATGTAAATGATGTCAGGTTTTGTTTACTTGTGTATTTTCTTAGGGAATCTAGGTAGATGTACATATAGGGATGAGATCCACTGAGCTCCTATAGGAAAGTGCACCTTGAAACAAAACCTGAATTAATCATCTCTTACATGTAGGTCTGTACAGTCATGACAGTTGTGGGAACGTGTACATGTACACATTTATACGTACATGTACATGTAAATTCCTTTTGGCAAGTCACTCAACACAGTAGGCTGCCAGCTGCGTGTTTCACCCATCTTATTTGTCAAATATGAGATTGTGTTCTCTTTGTTGCAAACATTATCACCGTTATTACTACCAAATTTGATTTTCAAAACAGAAAAATACCTGTACATGTCACTGAACCAGTGGTGAATTAAATTACCGGCTGGTGTTTTCTGTGCTATGCCCAGACGAGAGTTCAGTGATTGCAGGGATCGCTTCCGCTTACAGCTGAATACATTTACGTTAAACCTGAAGGCAAACATGCATGTTCACTCCAGTGTAGTTGTGGAGTCTTTCTGAAATCCTATCGCTAGTCCAGTAAGGAGTTCTTAGGTCTAGTCACGAGCACGTGCACATGTAACAGGATGAACACTGACATCTGACTGATGTTGTCACATTTGCTTGGGATTTGACTTGACTTTGGCTGGAGAATGTACGATGGACTTGTAGGGACTAGTGGTAGACTCGACCGCAGTACAACATCAGCATATTGTGTTGCAGAGGACTCCACGCATTCAACAGACATACACATGTACCACCTGTCTCCCCGGTGTTTTTGTTGCAGGCGTAATTTCGCCCAGGCCCATGAGTACCGACAGCAGCACCGGTGACCTAGCAATGCGTAGCGCCAGCTTGGACTGTTCCCCTGATGACAGTGAAGATGCAGAGGAGAAGGCTAGACTCACTTGCCAGGTGCTGGAACTGCAGAACACCCTGGACGGTAAGCCAGAAACTTTCATTTCTTCCCTGGAAGCCTCTGTTCCTTTGTTTTTGCTATTTAAATTCGGCATGATCACATTGTGGATTGTGACTCAGCACGTTTTGTTTTAAGATGAACCGTTTGGTCACAACAAACTCAAAGAACAGTTCTTGTTGTGATATTACTTTAACCATGGTAGACGGATTTCATGCTTTAACCCTCCTATGCTGAAGTCACTCATTGGGTCATTTGGTAAACACCTCAAAGAAGCACAGCCNTTCACAGTTTCATGTGCATAATTGTGCAGTAAACCAAATGCAGTGAAGAGGACTGCACAAAAGACCCTGTGTCATTTTGTGCTGGCAACCAACTGTGTACACACTGAACCTGTGCATGTTTGAGTTCCATATAGAGGACACATGCAAGAGAGTCACTCGTGCATACGGTACATGCATTTGTGCTGTTAAACCAAAGGAAGGTTAATAGAAACTTCTTATGCATGTTATGGTGCCATGGTGTTGAGATGTTTTGCATTGTCTGTTTCTTTGCTTTTCATTTCATGAGAAATTGAAGAATCACACGGAAAATGTACATGTGAAGAAATTCTTGTTATGCACCTGCACATGTATGTACATGTACATATAGGTGCATTAAAATAGCATAAGGGCTTTTTCCATTTAGCTGCCAAGTAGATTGTGTGCTTTTTACATTGGCAAAAAAAAAAAAAAAACCAGCTGAGGAAACAGGTTCCCCCCTTTCTCTCATACTTAGACCAAAAAGTGCTCTTTGGGATGCAAGGTGGGGACATGTAATAGTTGGTATCAGTTTGGATTTTTACTAGTTTGTCGTTTTAATGCCTTTATACATGTACATGTAGCTCTGTTCATTGGAATTTGGAATTTTGTTTGTGGAAACCTTGTGGAAAGATGATTTATGTAAGTTTTGGAGTTTGGGTTTGTTGTAATGCGTTTATTTTCCATAGCGTTTTAACCCTAACCCTCCTCAATTGTCCCAAATCCTCTAGACGGTTTTGAAGATATTGGAAGAATGGCTAAAATTTGTGGCTAATTGCTAAGGATGTATTGTGTCAAGGTTGTACCGGTAGGTTAGACCTTGTGTTGTTTATGCTCAGCTACATGTACAGGTATGCATGAAGTCATGTCTACTTTACATGTACATGTGAAACCTTCCATACTGCTCCAGGAAACCATTTGTACTGTCTCAACCTAACCACAGGAATTTGCCAGAGGAGTTTGACGGATTGAGATAGTGGGCATCCCTCAAGGGGGCATATTCAAGAAAGACTGGA